CGCCGGCACCTCCCGGCCCCGCCGGCACCTCCCGGCCCCGCCGGCACCTCGCGGGGTCGCACAGTGGCGGAGGCGGACGCTGCCGAGTGGTGCCACCATAGCTGTGACCTTTATAAAAGTCTCATCGCGACAGCAGTACAAGCGATAGAAAGGACATCTCTTAGGCGCATCTGAATAAATACAGCCCGCGCCCTGCGGGCGCAGCCGGGCGTGGGGGTGGCAGGCGGCGTGAGCTACACATGCGGCGACAGGGACAATCACAAGCGGCCGACGAGGCGTGTGAGGACACAGACGTGTGTAGAGATTCGCTTGGAGCAGGCTCCTGCGCTCGAAGCCGAGGGAGGCATCGACAGGAGGTGAGATGTGTGAGAAGAGGGCTGGGCAGCCCAGCGGAGGCTAGGGCTGGCAGGTGCACGGGGCTCTCTCGGCAGAAGCAGGCAGGGTAGCCCAGCTACATTTCTGTTTCTGCTAAGAGGCTGTCACCGAGGCCTGATGTCATCAGGACCATCTGGGAGCTGGAATCTGCGTGGAGAGAGGGAGAGAACCATGAGCCATCCGGGCTGCCAGAGAGTGCAGGGGCTGTACTGCAGATCCAGAGGTGAGGATGAGGAATTAAAACACAGCAGGGCAGGAAGAAAACTGCTGAAAGATGTGTAGGAACTAGGTAGGAACTAGGCCTGCTCTGGCTTCACAGCAGAACAGAACCAATTTTTGTGAAGGATGAGAAAGCAGAGAGAGCAGCAAAACGCCAGAGGAACATCAGGTCTGAGTACCCCTGACATGCAGGGGGTGCATGACCCAGCCCTGCACAGGCCTTGAAATCTACACTCATCAAGTGTTTTTCAGCTGAGAGACAGTGTCCAGGTGGGGCAGCCTTCAGGCTGCAAGCCAACCAACACCACACAGGGTGGTGGTATTGCCTTCCCAAGAGCAGGGAATGCTGTGGGCAGTCAGCCATGTTACAGCAGCAGAGGCCTGGAAATAGTGACTTTCTGCACTGCATGAATGGAGGGTTTGTGCAGCTCTCCCCTGCCTGCCTCGGGGAGGTGAGAGCAGCTTGCTGGCTCTGCCATGGCTCAGCGCCACAGCCAGGAACACTGCAACTCTCCCCACAGCAAGTGAATCAACTGCAAGGAGAATGGGCCTGCATAGCAAGTAAGAAACTTAGCAGGGTACCAGTTTCCCATCCAGAAGCCTTTTGAAACTGAAAAAAACCCTGTTTTTTCCTGGGTGGGAGGGAGGAGATCTCTAGTGGCAGCCCTGCACATTCAAAACTACTGCAGGGGAATCTCTATTTCAGGAATCAATTTCTGGAAGCTAAATCCAAAAGTTGGCCAAACTGTCACTGAATTATTTTTATGGGTTTAACAGATGAGGATTCAGATGTTTTGAGGCTTTGGGAGGATTGGTTGTGCTTGTCTGCTGGTAGTCTGATATGAGAATTGTGAGGGGTGAAGGACAAATGAAGGTAAAAAAAAGCAAACCCCCAAACCACTTGGATCACAAGGTAGGCATGACAAAATACAATATCATATATGCAAGCTACACAGAACAGGCTACTGCTATCTCTGTAACACACCTTTTTTTCATTATAAGCAACAGACAGACAGTGGCACCTGGCTAACCCTTCATATGTTTGGGACATAGAGCTAGGAACAGCTGATGCTGTGTGGATTGCAAAGAGGTTCTGGAAACAGTGAGGAATGACACAAGTTTTGGCTAGGATATCTGGCAAAGGCTTCCAAGATCTTTAATATTCCTGCCCTTGAGTTTTAAGACTTTCAGATTTTGTTCCTGCAGCATCAGGAAAAATGTCTCAGAGGTACCATTTCTACTCTTTGCAGCAGCTGCATTGTCCTTGGAGGCTGCCTTTCCAAGAGAGGCACAGCCCAATGCTGTTTAACAAGAAGGTCACACCTGGAGGCGTATGTATTCCATGTAGGTTGTATGTATTCCAGTTCATGGGGAAAAGGGACAGGCACATTCAGCAGCCCCACTGCAAGAGGCCAGTGGCACTGCAAACACCCAAGACACCCCAGGAGCCCCTCAGCTCCTGCCCCCCAGCCCAGCTCCCAGAGCTCTTACTGTTCTGGCAGATCCAGGGGTTCTTCTCCCTGGCTGTGACTTCATGGACCTCTGTCTCCTCCTCTTCCTCGCCCTCTGAGAGAAGATCAGAGATCTGCTGCTGCAGCTCAGGACTAATGTTGTTCTCTGCCAGGATGAGTGTTCGTAGGGCTGTGGGGTAATTCTCTACCATGTCCAGCAAGGTCTGGGGGGAGAGTAAGATAAACAGGCTGACAAGCATCTCAAGGACTGAGCAGAAAGTGTCAGTGCTTTGTCTCCCTGTGAACTCCAGCCCTCCTCCCCTTATTCCTGCCTTCCCTTGACCTCTCTTCATTATGGTTTATGAGAGACTGAGAACTTCCCATCTTCCTGTGGGAAGAGCCGAGTTTGGATTTTCTCCCTCTGTCTAAAGAAAGGAGTGCTCTACACTGTTGCTGTTACATATCCAGGTCCATTCCCTCTTACCACTAGAAGCTGGAGATCTGAGAGTCTGTGCAACTGAGCCTTGGCCTGTCCACAGAGATTTAGTTCTGATTCTCAGTCAAAAATCCAACCTCATTTCTTCCAAGAAAACAGCCACAGAAAAGCAAGAACCCCCCTGGGTGCAGGGAGGGAAGGGGATGCATGTGCTCTCCAGTGTGTGGTTGGAGGCAGGTGTGAGTCCTGGGGCCTCTGCAGACACCCCAGACCTGGGCCCTTGAGGTGTCTGTGATGCTGTAGAGGAACTGTGGGCTCCCATACCTGAGCTGACTGATTGGTAAGTCCTGTTCCCTCCAAGTCCAGCACTTCGAGGGTTCGACTGGAGGCCACAGCGACAGCGAGCATCCCGGCTACCTGGTCACCTGTGGGAGGAGCAAACCAGGGCTGTCAGCAGTGCCTGCCTTCCCTCATGTAATGCCACATGCCCTCATGTGCCTGAAGCTGTCGTGGGAACATCCTCTGAGTATATCTGCCTTCAGACAGCCTTCCAAATCTGTTGCCTCATGGTGGAAAAAATAGCTGTTAACTGAGAAAAGAGACAAGGAAAAGGTGCACCAATTTGTGATTATGGGAGCAGTCACTGATTATCGAGGGAACACAAAGGAACACTGTGAGATTGGTTTTATTCCCCAAAGAACCATATCTTCCCAAATCTCCTTCCTACTCAAGGAGGTAAGAGCCTTTTAACAGTCCCAGGGCATCCCAGACACAGAATAGCAGCTGAATACTTCAGTCTAGGGAAAGGCTGGAGTCAGAGGACTCTGCACCAGCTGGCTGACTGCCTCCCTGGGAAGGGGGTAGACTTTGATGGGGGATGCCACAGGATGAGGAGCATTGAAGATTTATGTTGGTGAAGAGAGGACTCCACTCTGTCGAGTGTCAAAATGCCATACAACTGAGACACCTTCTCTTGGAACAAAACCCAGACTGCTGTCAAGTAACACGTGGGGCTTTTCCTGTCCAAAAGGAGATACCTGGTCAGAGAAGAGGGCCTGGGGGAGGCTCTGCTGGCAGACAGGTTGAGGAGGGGAGTGTCATCCTGATGCTCAGGCATGGCCCAATCTCCTCCTCACCACCTTGCAGCAGAGCAGGAGAGAGTTTGTTTCTATGGCAACGAGTGCCAGGCTCTCCTCCTCCTCCTCCCTGCTCCTCCAGGAAGATGAAGGGGGGAGCACGGGGACATACTGCATCTGCCAAGCCAGCTTCAACGTTCAGGGCTTCAGGAGAAAGGGAGACATGGAGGGTCAAACGTGATGACAAAGGCAATGGAGTGGGCAAGGTACAGCCTCCTCTCTGCACCTCCCTGCAGGGCATGTGGCCACCTCACAAAAGCAGAGCAGTGAGGGTGGCTTCTCCTACAGCTGAAGGTGCCTGGCAGGGTGAACTTGCTGCTGGGGAACAGAGGGCACCTATGCAAGGAACTGCCCCATCCTGCTGCTGAAGCTCTACCACCTTTCCAGAGCTTGGTCCCTGGCCACCCACTGGTGCAAATCACACAAACACAGAGGAAGGAGTGCTCCTCCTCCCCAGCCCCCAGCTTACCTAGGGGGTTGTAGTCCAGGTTCAGCACACGGAGCTGTGAACTGTGAGCCACTGCAATGGCTAGGCGTCCCCAGCCTTTACTTGTGATGCCTGGGTTGGCGCTCAGTGTTAGCTCTTTGAGGCCTGGAGAAGAGAGAGAAGCCAAACCAGAGCCTTAGGGTCCCCAGAGCAGTCACAGAACTTGTTCAGCTCACCAGAACACCTTTGGGTTGTGTCCCCTGTACTCTGTAGGACTTAAGGGCTTGGTTTGCTCTGACAACTGTCATCACATATTTCAGTGATCAGTGAAATGTTTCACTGCCTTCAGCTGCAGCCCTTCATTTAACCATGCTGCAACTGCCTCATTTATCTGCTCTCCCAACCTGAGTCCTGCTTACCCTAAACAGCAAACTCAATGGAAACTAAGGGGTGTGTGAGACAACTGACTGGGCAAAGAAGGTGACATGAAGTGACAGGCTGGAGAGAGGATAACAGGGACAGTAGGCTCTGAAGCCTGCACCTGAGAGGGGTGCCCAGCAGAGATAACAGCATCGGTGGCATTGTGCTCACACAGAAGAAGGAGGTGCTGGGAAAAGGTGGAAAGCACTTTGAGAGTCAGAAGAAAGGAGTGGTATTACCTCAGCACATGCCAGCTCTCAGCTTGAATAAGTCACTGGCCTCACACCACCAAAGATCATTCCCTGCAAAGACCTGAGTCTTGGCATGAAGTCTGTCACTATGCAACTACATGCTCATGGAGTGCACCCGCGGGCAGGGACAACTCCCAGGCACTGATAATAAAGCTAAGTGCTCAGATAGGGGCACACAATATATTTATCTACAGTGATTATCAACACAAAAATGCAAAACAATAAATTCTAAGTTCAAGCTGTCTTCTCCTCCAGTTTCAATGCTGCTGACATGAACCAGAAGCAACCTGTTAGTCCCTGAGCTCCAAACTGCTAGCAGGATAGATCAGTAGTAGAAAGCCCAAACCTGCCAAAGGGAATCACTCATCTATTGCTTGGCTTATCTGCTTTTCTTAAGTTAGGGGAAATAAATCCTTAGCCCTGGCAAACCACAGAGCCTGCCTCCTCCAGGGCTGAGGATTTAGTGCTGCATACATCTGATCTATGTGAAAGCTCCACCAGTCATTGAGCAGCCCACAGCCCCTGGTGCTTACCAGACTTGGCCCCATCAGGCGGCAGGAGCCCACAGATAAGGTTGATGCCTTCATCACCCAGCATGCAGTCTCCTAGATCCAGAGCCACCAGCGAAGGGTGGATGGAGAGAGCAGGGTTGAGTAGGGCCAAGCCTGCATCTGTCAAGGGACTCCCATGGAGGCTGTGCAGGCAAAAGGGAAAATTACTATGGAGCCTTCTTCCTGAGGGCTAACTAACCTGACAGGGAGGAAGAAGCAGCCAATTGAGGTGAATGACAAATACTAACCCCAAGTGGGCAAAAAGCTTTGGGAAGCCTCTGTCGCTAGGGTCGGCTGGCCGCTACGGTGGCCATTCTCTCCCGGCCGGGACGAGGCGTGCAGGGAATGCCAGCGTTGAAGGGGCAGCCCCACCACCGGGGCTGGAAGACCGAGACGGAGAGGCAGGGCCGTGCCCAGCCGGCGGGGGCAGAGGTGGCTCCCTCCCAGCCAGGTGATGGGCAGGGGTTTATCCTCCGCAGCATCAAGGGCATTTTCCCTCCGACAAGACTCAAATTCAGGGACTGGCCCAGAGCTGAGAGTCCTCCAAAAGAGCCGTCCCCGCCCGGGAGAGGACCGGGACCCCCTCGGCAGCCCCCCGCCGCACTGTACTCACAAGAGGGACTGAACGGAGCGGTTCGTCTTCAGGGCCTCGGCCAGCTGCTTGACGCGGTTGATATTGGAGACGATGCCCAGGTTGAGGTTGAGCTGAGCGAGGGAGCGGGACTCGGCCACCCCGCGGCAGACGTGCCCGAAGTCCCGCTCGGAGAGCTGGCAGCCCCGCAGCGACAGCAGCCGCACCGAATTCTCCCGCAGGCTCTCGCAGATGTCCCGGATCTCCGCCCCCGACAGCGTCTCCCCGGAGATCTGGATAGACCCCGGCAGCATCTTCCTCCGGCTGGGAGCGCCGCCGATCCCGGGGCCGCGCAGCCCGGGAGCCGGGGGAGAGCCGCGCTGCGCGCCGGGGCGGGCGCCGCCGCCGCTGCCGGGCAGTCCCGGCCCGGCCCACCGCGGCCCCGGGGGCGGCCCCGCACTGCCTCACCGGCGGTGGCCGGGCCGCCCCGCTCCGCCCGGCGGGGCAGTGTGACCCAGGGCAGCCATCGGCGGGGGCTGATCCGCACCGGGCCGCAGGGTCGCGCCGCCCCGCAGCGGCGGGCGGAGGCCGGGCAGTCCCGCGGGTCCCCGCCCCGCTCCGCCCGCACCTGCCGGGCCGCCCCGCCTCCTCCCGGCCGCCGCTCCGAGCCCTCCTCCCGCCCGGCCAGCGCCTCCCCGCGCAACGGAGCGGGCGGGGAGGGGGGTCCGGCAGACTTCATCTCACCCCGGCATCCCGCCCGGCATCCCGGGCCCCGACGCCGCTCAAAGCCCGCCAGGGGCGACGGCAGCGCCCGCTGGCACCAGCCCACTGCCCTGAGGAGGTGCGGGGCCAGGGCCGGCCGGGTTGAGTCCCAGCCACTGGGGGTGATGGAAGCACCTGGGAAAGGCTCTCCATGCCAGCCCTGCTCCCCACCTGGCGAAAGGGGCCCCAGCCATTGGGCCATGGTGCACTCTGAGTGCTTGGTCTGAGAAACTGTGGTGTTCCAAGGCTTCAGTGGCGTTTAATACTTAAACTCGCTAAGCCTGAATCCTCGACCCATGACTTAGTGGCGAGGTCAGTCTGATCTGCTCCTCACGGCCCAGAGTGTGCAAGAGCCAGTGCTTGGAGGTGGAAGTTGGAGGGCTGGGGAAGGGCCACAATGTTCCTTATCCCCGAGTACACAGCCTCTGCCCTCAGCCTGACCTGAGGTATGTAGGGCACACCCCACCTCCTGCTATCACAGGTATGGATCACAGGGATCTGTCCACTCTCTCCCCATTGAGTAATTCTGTTCTTGGAGAGAAATAGGAAGCAGGGCCCCTGCGTTTTCAACTTCACTGAGCTGAAAAAGGAAGGCAGTGATGTGGAAATTAGGTTAAACCGCCTAAGTAGGCAGCTTTCTGCACGTAACTAATCTGGCTGCTGCATATAGCAGTGCTCAAATGAGTTTCAGCCCAGTGGGTAACACTGAGACAAAACCAGGCTCCTCTGCTCGATTTGCAGGCCAGGGCTCCAGAGAGTGGATGGAAAGTGAAGAGAAAAATAGGGTGTGGAGGTAGATATGGAGTACTTCTCCACTGAAATGGAGGAGCAGATCACCTGAGCTGAGGATGCATATTAGGTCCTGGACAAGGTTAGAGAAGCAACAGCTTTAAGACTTTGGTTTAAACTCTCAGTGTGGGTATCACCATGCCCTTTAATCCATTACTGTTCTCTAGAGTACCTACACACCCTCCTCTTTCTTTCCCTGTTGCAGAGATGCATGACCTTGATACTGCTCCTGCAAGAGCAGTCTACAGAAAGAACAGACTACTGGCCTCGCAATTCATCTGTGCTGCAATATGAGCAGCAGCTGCAAGCATCCAGTTGTGGTAGAGCTGTGGTACTATGGCTTTCAGAAAAGGAGCAGCTCATGTCTAAGGTCACATTAAAAAACCCAGGTGAGAATATGATCTGATCATATTGCAAAATGGTGAGAAGGCTGGTTTTCAGAGTTATAGGCAGGGGGTAGCCAAGAAAATCCCAGCTGCTGCTACTGCATACAGGTCAACTAGAAGGCTACACTCAGACTCACTTCTCAATTACCTCCAGGCACTACTCAACCCATGCTTTTTTAAGCAGACTATTATTAGAGAGGTGCTTGGAGGAGAGCCCTTGGGACATGTCCCACTTCTATTGACAGCAGCAGTTTCAAAACACTGAAGATGCCCTAGTGCCTCATCACTACCTGTTGTCAGGAGCCAGAGCACATTGAGGAGACAAGTATCCCACCTACTTTATGCTCAATTAATTGAGAAAGTGGCACGGGGCCTAATGGTCCAAAGCTTTGGCTCACCAAACCAATGCAGGGCTATGCAGAGGGGACTTTGGCAATGCCCAGCAGGTATGAGGAAGGTCATTTATTGTTTACCTGCTGGGGGCAGAAAGAGTGATGTCATTGAGAGTTAACACATAAATAGAGAAAAATACTGGATGAACAGCAACTACAGTGAGAGTAGACCCAGGAAAGGAAACAAATGAGAGAAGAAAGAGCCTACCTGTAACCCAAAATCACAACTAAGGTGACCATTACTGCAACAAGGATAGACTGTAAGAAGAGCTGGACTCTCAGGTACTGCACAGAAGAGGAGGAGATCATAGATGCTTTAATATTCATTTTCAGCTTTAATATACAGCTTTCTAATCTGACAGCTTTATATGTTTGTTCCATATTTAATAAAGGGGGGCACAGAGCTACCTTTACGCAAAAGGGGGAAGAGGTGAGTGGGTTATTTCAGATTTGCTGCAAGGGAGAAGGGCAAAAATGATCTGAGATTTGCTGAAAGACCTGCAGCAAGAAACAAAGAGATAATATTGCACGATAGGGTTGTAAGGCTTGTTCTGGCAACTAGAAGACTTGAGTAAGCATTGAGATGCCCTCCCACAAGGACCTCATTAAGCCTGCATGCTCAGCATGCTCCCTGGAACTGCAGCATGCATGCATTTCTCTGAAAAAACATGTCCTTCTCTGTCAGTGAAAGGCAATGCTGAAGCTCTCAGCTGAGTACTGAATTTCTGGCAGTAAAGAAAAGTTCAGCTTCCAGCTGCTGCTGCACAAAGAATTAATCAGGGCCAAAGAACTGGAGCAGAGCAAGCCCCACAGATTCCAAGAGGGTGGTTGGCTGTCACCCTGATCATGTCTCCAGCTGACACAACACATAAGCTTCTCTAAGCTTCTCAGGGGAAGCATGAGGAGTTCCCTCACTGCTCTCCTCTGTACTTTGAGTGAAAACACAGGGCACAGCTTCACCCCTCTGGTTCAGCTGAGTGGCTCAGTGCAGGAGGGAGCACCGATGTTCTCCAATTATGTCATAAGATTAGCAATGGTCCAAGCTTTATGCAGAAAGATTTTTTCCTCTCAGCTGAACTTACTCCAGTGACAATTGTGTCTTTCTCCTTTCCTCCCCCTCTGCCAGTACTTCCAGAGTTTGCACCAAGAGAAATAGATCAATTCTAGGCTGCCAGGGCAAGAACTTGGAATTCGAAACAAACCTCCCATGGAGATAGAAAGAGGGAAATACCAGAAGCAGCATTACAAACTAACACTTCCATTTTGCCAAGTTTTGAAGTAATAGAAATTCTAGGAGCTTAAAGTGGTTCAATTGATCCAAAAACCCCCATGGAGACTACTAGCCAAAATAATTAACAATTCCCCCAAGTAGCTTGCTCTGAGTGCTGTTCTTCAGCCAAAATGTTTCCCAAGGAAGAGGGTCAGGAGGGGAGAAGAGAGTGAGGGAACCTGTCTGTTATGCATGCGATTGTTAGCAGTGCAGTGAAGCTTTCTGCTCTTGAAAGGGGAACAAATTATGAATGTGGGAATAAGCAAATAGTGAAAAGTAGGTCTGTGACTGAAAATAATCAAGTCCTGTCCAGTGACATTTTTTTTCTACTGAAGCAGTTGAGAACCGTGACTACAGTAGCTGGCACTATCTTCCTCTCTTTCATTGCACCTTGGCACTAGTCTGAGTGCTACTACAGCTGCATCCTCTCCCATTAATATAAACAAGGGACCAAAGAGGGCAGTTCTGACATACTGCCTTGTGCACTTGTGGGCACACCAAGGCAGGGCCGTATCTTGTTTTTTTTTTATTGCCCGAGTTTAAAGATGAGCTTCTCTGAGGGGTGCCTCCTCTCCATCAGACATCTAGAACCACAGGAAAAGATGAAAGCCAGTTACCAGCTAACAGCTTCTACTTGCAGAGCAGTAGAAGTTTGAGCAGTGGGAGAAGGCTGAGCTCCTCAGTTGTGAGTTGCTAAGCCTAGACTGGGCTGCTCTGCTTATCCATCCTTACTGGAGATTTCCTGCATCAGTACACTGGAGATTAATATGGCCACTCTATTTCCATTACACACTCTGCTATTTCTCCCTTTGTTAAATGGAAACACCAGAGAAAAGATTGCTGGAGACCTTCAAGGCCCGAAGAGCCCTTTCAAACAAAGGCCTAGACACAGCTTGAAAAGCCAGACAGCACACAGCAGAATGGGTGTCTGGGGAACAGAATGCCACTCCTGCCCAGAGGTGGCAGTCCCCTGGCTGGGAGACATGATGGCCAGCAGAACAAGGGTGAGCTGAACTGGCCTCCTCATAGAAATATCCACTGAAGACACTGCACAAACATGCTGCCCTGCATGGACACAGAGTAACATGGGCAGAAGGGTGGCAGGAATAAAAGGTACAGTGAAAGCATGGGGACAGATACATTTCTGACATACAGAGCAGAAGGGATGCTGAGGTGAGACAGCAGCTTGGACCAAGTGAAGAGAGAGAGATCAATATGGAACACGACAAGAAAGAGCATGTAGTTAAGGACTGTGCTGTTCCTGAAAATCACCAGAGAAAATGAACTTCTTGTGCCTTTTGAACTACTATGCCTTTGAAAAAGGTGCCCAGAACAGGACATGTAGCATAGAACATTTGAAGGACAGCAGAAAATGCAAAGAATCCTGCTTTGGGCCTAAGACAGGACAGATGAAGGCGCAGAGACCCAAACACCACGCTCCCATTAGACATATAGGTTCAAGCATAAGATGTCACTCAGCACCAACATCAATTTAATTCTTCCCTCTCAGGACAGGAACAGGGCAGATACTCCTGGAGTTACATCAGCAAGCGGAAAGAGGGCTAAGGAACAAAACTGTGCTGGGAAATCCCAGCTAAACATGCAGGCAACAGAACCACTCTACTCAAGATAGCCCAGACCTGGATGGGGGAAGAGTGCAGCTCTTCTGAGTCACTGAGGTGTGACTCACTTCCACTGAGTCCACTCAACTGCCCAAAACCGCAATGCAGAGGACAGGTCCAGGAAAACAAAACCAAGTTGTCTTCTTGCTGTTCTGTCCTGTTCCTAACAGGCAGCAGGTTACTGTGGCCCTATGCAGCCCCAAAAGTAGTGAAGGAAGCAAGTCCAAGTCTGTAAAACTAGAGGGTCAATGCAATGGCTTTGGCTGTTGTGTTCAATACAGCATTGGAAACAGCTGGAATGTCTCGGGCAACTCTCTGAAAGGGCGGCATGTTGGGTCCTTCCAATGTGTCCAGGATACCTGGAGAACAGAAAAAAGGGGAGAAAAGCAAGAATTAATTCAGATGATAGCAGATAGCACATTTGT